TGTCTTGTGCACACACCAGCAACCCTCGTTTTATGGCCGTAAGCTACCTTAGATATTTTATGGCAAGCTTGCAAATGGTCACCCTCAACATAAACCAAAAAAGAGATTTAACGACTGTGTAAGGAATAACTTGAAAGAGTTTAGCGTGGGGGTGGATGACTGGGAAAATCTTGCCAGTGATCGCAACGAATTGCACCGGGCTCTTGTAGAAGTATGTAAGTCAGCAGAGGAAAAGAATTTAACACATGCAGCAGTAAAAAGGCTTTTGACGAAAGGTATTACCAGGAGCTTGGGTGACAGCACTGCAAGCTGGAAATGCGAGACATGTGGTCGTATCCTGCTGCCAAGACCTAGCTATGTTAATCATCTAAAATCGCAATGTGTTGCCTCCACGACCCGGTGATACTACATGTGGGAGTATGTGAATCCACCTCTCGACTGAAGAGGCATATGATGGTGCACAAGGATGACCGACTACAGCAACATCCGCTTAGCCCTATGAAGACTCTGGAACGCATTTGTCGTCTGTGCTAAAGGCCTTGCAAATCAGCAGATGATTTGAAGCGCCACCTCCGAAGTCATTTGTGAGGAAACCATGATCTAGATGGAATGTGGCTGGTGATGGGCAAGATGGCAGTCATCTGTGAATATGAGGCAATCAACACCTATCTATCTATCTATCTATCTATCTATCTATCTATCTATCTATCTATCTATCTTAACCTGTAAATCAGACAGTAAACATCTGGCAAGATGCACCAATTAATGTCTTTCTATATGCCAAAATAGCATAAGCATTTATCTATCTATCTATCTATGAACGTATGTATGTATATCTCCATCTATCTGACTCTGTTCAAATCTAATCCATCATGTTCATATGTATGTATGTATGTATGTATGTACCTACCTACCACCAGGAGCTTGGATGACAGCACTGCAAGCTGGAAATGTGAGACATGTTGCCGTATCCTACTGTCAAAATCTGGTATGTTAATCATCTGAAATCATGTGAGAGACGACCTCACTCTCTGTTACCTCCACGACCCGGTGATACTACATGTGTGATCTGCAAGGAAGAATGTGAATCGAAATGAAGAGGCATATGGTGGTGCTCAAGGATTACCTACCACAGCTAATATCCGTTTAACCCGTTGAAGACACTGGAGCACATATGTCATCTGTGCTATAGGCCTTGCAAATAAGCTGCTGGTTTGAAAAGCCACCTTCGAAGGCATTCGAGAAGAAGCAATGATCTAAGTTAGTATGCTTGTCTCCGTTTGTAGTTGCATAATTAAAAGAAAAAACTTGTAGTTACAACGAATGATTTATTTTTATGGTCGAAATATTTCCATAAAAATAAATAATTTGTTGGAACTTTTTTCTTTTAATTAAACAAGGATCTAGATTGAATGTAGGTGTTAATAGTCAAGAGGGTAGTCATCTGTGAAGATGGAGCAATCAATATGTATTTATAATAGTATAGAAAAATTGTCTCTGTGTGATTTGATTCTTATAATATGAAGGACGATGAAATTATTCGAAAGATTAAAACAATAATATATATATATACAACAATAATATTAATGAAAATGCTGTAATATTTATTGTATACTAGCACTAGAGCCCGGCGTTGCCCAGGGATGTAACAGTAAGAGATAGATCAAGTATCGATCATCATAAAGACTGGAAAATAAAATTGACAAAGATTATTGTTTAAGGTTGACGGACACGCATGTCTTAATTAGTTTTTTTCTTTTGTTTTTTTTTTACGAATTTGTCAAACCCAAACTCAAACAAAAACATTGTTTTCAATCGTTATGAGTCTATCGATTGAATAGAATTTTATTAAAAACAATTGTCTTGTAAATGGAATTTTTAAAGCATTCTGAATGTAAAAATAAAGAAAAAAGTGTGCAAGACAATAAGAAACACTACCTACCAAAAAAAAGTGAAGTTTTGTTGAAATCGATTGAAAAATGTAGGAAATCCGATCCCATATATAAACGAACACACACATACACAAACACAAACAACCTGGGTTTTATAATAAGTATAACTCGATATGAGTTGTCCCCCTTTCATTCTCGCGACAGCGATGCCTCTTAATCGTGTGTTCAAATTGATTTCGTGCAAAAACAATTGTGTTTTTCCAATTTTTGGCGCTGTCAGATCCACCGCAAGGTAATTTTGCGTAGTCCTGTGAAGTTTTGTTGAAATCGGTTGAAAAATGTAGGAAATTCAGTCACTTTCACAACTATCTCGCGTGGCTTCCCGCTGTCTTTTCTACAAATAATTCCATGACAACTTCTCTGGCGAGATTTTTTTTCCTAATACCCCAACTACATTAATTTAAGCGTACTGCTAGATTGGCTGCTAGGTCCTATCATTTTACTGGTGAAATATCTAAATTCAACCTACTTCAACAGTTTCTTTTCTTGCACTTCCTGCCTGCGTGACTACCTTCCGATTTCTTGCTTCCCTAACAACTACAATCTTCAAAAATGTAAATTCAACCCCAATCGTCATCTTCTTTCTTCTTGTACCCCATTCATCTTTTGTCCTCTCTTATTCTTAGTCTTCTCTTTCATTTTTACTTCCTGTAAGCCGGCTATGCGCATTATAGCAAAAAAAAAGTTGAAGGATTAAAATATAGTCTATATTAGTAAAATTAGAAAATTTGTCTATATAGCTCTGTTTTTCCTGCTAATTGCCCATAAGTGAACGTCAGTCATTTATGTGTCATGCATTAGACACGCTTATGCGATCATGTATCTTTCGATACATGACTGACGATGAAGGTTATTTTTTCCCGCAGTAGGTTGCCATTTATTTCTGTGGTAGACCATTTGCCATCCAAGACTATAGAACCCGGTCGGTCCTGCTATTTACCCATAGCTGTTGGGAGAACAACAGGATTCATACCTTTCCCAAAGGTATTAGCACGTAAGTGAATGTAATGGATTCGACTGGAAAGTCAGTCAGTTATGTGTCATGCGTGATACACGCTTAGGCGATCATGTATCTTTCGATACCTGTCTGACGAGGCGGATTTTTTCCCGTAGTAGTTTGCCATTTCTTTCTGTGGTAGACCATTTGCCACCCGAGGCTATAGAACCCGGACTGCCCTGTTATTTATCCATAGCTGTGGAAGCGGATACATACCTTTCTCATGGGTATTAGCACGTAAGTGAATGTAATGGATTCAACTGGAAATTCAATCAATCATTTATGTGTCATATGTGATACACGCTTAGGCGATCATGTATCTTTCGATACATGACTGACGATCAGATTTTTCCCGCAGTATTTTTCCATTTCTTTCTGCGGTAGACCAGTTTCTATCCAAGGTTATAAAACCCGGCCTGTCTTGATATTTATCCATAGCTGGGGAGAAAATAAGAAGATTCATACTTTTCCCAAGGGTATTAGCACGTATGAGAAGGTAATTGATTCGACTGGAATTCGAACTCAGCTCTCCGATTCCTCAATCCGAGCCGCTATCCTTTTCCCCACTGCAAGAATGGAATTCGAACTCGGCTCTCCGATTCCTTAATCTGACCTGCTAACCATTATTCCAACCTGCTTACTTACACACACGCACACACACACACACACACACACACACACACACATACATACGTGCGCACATACACATATGCGCATACTCTCACACACACATAATTGTGTATTTAGGTAGCAATCACTCTTTTATACAAGTTTCATTGAAAACTATTAACAAGGTACTATTTTTATTTAATTTTTTTGTACGCTTATAGTTGTTCTTTTCTAGATGTAAATTATGTAGAAATTTTCGAACGTTCTGATCGTCCAAGCGCTTTCGGCTATTCTTCCAGCCATTATCATGTGTGTGTGTGTGTATGTGTGTGTGTGTATGTGTGTGTGTTTGTCGAAGCATTATGTTATGATTCTTTGATAGAATACACTATTTAGTAAAACTACTTTAAAAAAAATCATAGAAAGCCAATTACAAATCGTTGCCTCGCAAGTAAGATTTATAGAATATCATTGTGTTTTCTCTGAATTTCTTGGTTGGGGCGTTATCATAATTCCAACCATTTATATTCGGATAATGCGTTTTCATGTTATGGCTGTAGTCTTCTCCTGAAGAAGATCGGATAGTTCAAAGACTGGAACCGTATGATAATGCCAGCATTAAATGAAGTTTAAAAAAAATCTCGGGAAATATAAATACTAGATTTTTATTTTTAAATTGACCTAATATCAAATGATTGCGAAGCGAAGATTTTATATCGAGTAAAAATAGTTAAGATTTTACAAGAACTGGATAAATCCCTTATGTTATAAATACATTATCCTTGCATTTGTTTCACATATAGATTTTGTATCGATCATAGCTAACCCAATACAAAACCTGACAGAGACGCCAAACCACTCAAAATTTGGTCCTGTCTACCACACGATCCTGAACAAGTAGTGCTCAAATGCCGATTATATGCATGAGCTTATTACAGCAAAAGCATATATATATATATATATATATATATATATATATATATATATATATATATATATATATATATTTATATGATTATGAGTGTTTGCTAGCTGGAGGTTACACATCTTTTGTGCTTGTGCAGTTTTGATATTTGGACGTACGACGGACAGGGAAAAAAAGAAACGGAGAAAGAAAGATGGTGGGAAACTGGAAGAGGAAGTTCGATGAGGATGTGACCGGGGAAGACATTGAAAGATACAGGCTGCAAACAATCTTCAAAGACAAGTGAATGCTTGATGCAGGAAGAAAAAAAAACACGCTACGGAATCGGTAAATGATATCTTTGGCTCATCTTCTGATATGAACCTCACCATCTTGTGTCCATGGGTTTACTTCAGATAATGAGAAAAGACAGTGAGTCAAAGAAAGAAATAGGAAAAGATGGAAAGGTATTTTTATTAATGGCTATTAGAAGAAAAAAAGAAGGAAAATGAAAGAAGAATAAAGCGTTTCCTTAAAATTAAATATGAAAGAGAAACAAGTAACGATTGAAAGAGAAGGTAAAATGGAAGTCATGATAATTATTTAAGAAAGAAAGAATTAAGCGAAGGAAGGAAGGAACGAAAAAAGGAACGAATAAACAATGAAAAAAGGAAAGGAGAGAGTTTAATGAAAATAGATAAAGATAAAGAAAGGACTCATCGGAGAAGAAAAAGTCTAAATGAAAAAAATATGTTAGGAGAAAGAAAGAAACAAACAAACAAACAAACAACAATTAACAAAGAAAATGAGAGAGTTTAATTAGTGGGAAGAAAAAGCAAGTAAATATAGAAGAATAAAGAAGCATAAACGAAAAAAAATATAAGGAAAAGAAAGATAGAAAGAAAGAAAGAAGGAAAGAAAGAAAAAGAAAGACATTTGAGATATTAAGAAATAAAAACGTGGTGATATTAAGAAAGAAAGAAAAAGAAAGTGAGAAAAAAGAAAGAAAAGTGAAGAAGAAAGAAAGAAAGAAAAAGTGGAAAAGAACGAATGAAAATGTGAGAAAGAAAGAAAGAAAGAAAGAAAGAAAGAAAAAATGAGAAGAAGAAGGAAAAAAGAAATAAAAAATAAGAGTCAAGATGAAAACTAGGAAAAGAAGAGAATAGATTACATAAATTAGAAAAGAAGAAAGAAAGAAAGAAAGAAAGAAAGAAATAGACTGTGGGATATTTATATCAAAGAAAGAAAGAAAGAAAGAAAGAAAGAAAGAAAGAAAGAATCACAAAAGGAGAGAAAATTGCGATGAGATAAGCCAACATAGTTCAAAAGAAAAAAAAAATCAGTGAACTAAAATGAAAGAAGGAAGTTGCCATTCGAGTTGGAAAACAAAAAAAATGTTTTCAGAAAAGAAAATCTTGAAATGTGAAAAATAGGAAAGCAAGGTTCAATTTAGAAGAGAACGAATCCTTTGATAAGTGAAAAGACTGAGTGAAAAAAAACAAGTAAGTTCGAAGGTTTAAAAAACAAAATCTCAATAGTGAAATGAATTCAAAATAAAATGAAAGAAAGAAAGGAGATTCTGAGATTTATAGGAAAAAAAGAAATGAAACAATATTGATTAAAAAATGAAAAAAAAAGAGAAAAGAAAAAGAAAGAACAAGTATTCAATAAACGATTTGATTTAATGAGAAAGAAAGAAAGAAAGAAAGAAAGAAAGAACGGTAAAGAAAGAAAGAGATAAACTAGTATTAAATAAAATATATGCTTGATTAATAAAAGAAATTACAAATAAAGAAAGAAAGAAAAAGAAAGTAATAAAATGAAAGAAAGAAAAAATAAATGACAAAAAAAGAAATTACATAGAAAGTAAGAAAGAAAGAAAGAAAGAAGGAATTAACAAAAAAGACAATAATGGCAATGAAAGAAAGACAGAAATGACAAAGAAAGAAAGAAAAAAAGAAAGAAAGAAAGTAAGAAAGAAAGACAGAAAGAAAGAAAGAAACCAGTATTGAATAAAACCTATAAAAAGAAAATAATAAAAGAAATGAAAAAAGGACAATAATGGCAATGATAGAAAGAGAGAAATGACAAAGAAAGAAAAAAGAAACGAAAATAGAAAGAAATCAATAAAGAAAGAAAAAACGTGATTACTTTAAATATCGTCTGCAGAAATGGCTGATAATAAACAATAATGGAAATCTGATTCGAATTAAAAAAGCAAAGACGGCAAAAGAATGAAGGCCAAATGAAAATGGAAAGGATAAAGATGTCAGCAAAAAATACATGAATAAATATGAATAAGTACAGAAGAATAAAATAAGAATCAAAGAAAGAAGAATGGAGAAAAATGTCGCAAAAGAAAGGACCCCAAAAGGAAAACATTGTAAAGAATAATGAAAGATGGAGGAGAAAGGGATGAGCATTTTGGCTTGAGTGTGGGCGCTATTTTCGGAGAGCGGCTTGCCCATCATAAAATGTCTCCATTAAGCGTAATGACAGGAGAGAATAATAAAAAGCCGAGCTGGAATCAAATCACAAATATGGCGACCATGTGGAAAAGTGACGCAGAGTAAAACTTTCACCTAGGGGAAGACAAACGAAATGCAAAGTTTCGATTATGCACTCAAGTAAACGCGACATTGCTCTCCTTCGCCCTCACCGTCTCTCTCTCTCTCTCTCTCTCTCCACTCTCTATTTCTCTGCTTATTATTATTATTATTATTATTTCTCGTTTCCTAATTATTTCTCTTTTTCTCTCTCTCCCTCTATCTCTATCTCCATCACTCTCTCCCTCATTCTCTTATTCTATTCTTCTCTTAATGTCTCTCTCTCTCTCTCTCTCTCTCTATTGCTGTTTGTGTATACTTATCTCGATCTTATTCTTTCACACTCTCATACTTTCACCCTCTCACCCTTTCACTCTCTCATTCTTTCTCTCTCTCATCATTTCTCTCTCTCATTCTTGCTCTCTTTCACCTTCTCATTCTTTCTCTCTCTTATTCTTCACTCTCTCAACCTTTCACTTTTTCATTCTTTCTCTCTCTTATTTTTCACTCTCTAAACCATTCCCGCTCACATTCTTTCACTCTCTCATCCTTTCATTCTCTCATTCTTTTACTCTCTTACCCTTTCACTCCTTACCCTTTCACTCCTCACCCTTTCACTCTATCACCCTTTCATTCTCTCATCCTTTCAATCTCATTCTTTCTCTCTCTCTCTCTCTCATCCTTTCAAACTCTCATAATTCTCTCACCCATCCTCTCTCTCTCATCCTTTCACTTTCTGATTCTTTCTCTCTCTCATACTTTCACTCTCTCATAATACTCTCTCTCTCATTCTTGCTCTCTCTCAACCTTTCACTTTCTCTTTCTTTCTCTCTCTTATTCTTCAGTCTCTCATCCTTTCAGTCTCTCATTCTTTCACGCTCTCATTTGTTGTATCTTCCTCTCGCGATATATATTTCAATAATTCTCGTTTTTCTCTTCATATATCTATATCCATCTGTCCTTCTGTCTCTATATATTTCCTTTTCTTGCTTTCTCTTCTTCTTCTTTTTCTTCTTCTTCTTCTTCTTCTTCTTCTTCTTCTTCTTATTATTATTATTATTATTATTATTATTTCCCCTTATGTTTCTATCCTTCACTCTCTATCTCTCTCTCACTCTCTCTCTCTCTTGCTCTCTGTTACTTTAATTAACTCTTATTCTATTCTTAACTTTCTCCTCCACTTTTTCTGTCTATCCCTCTTGGCTTCATTCCTTCATACTCACTCACTTTCTCTGTCTCTCTCTACATCTATCTCTCATTGTCATATTCTATTTCTCTCTTTCTCTTCCTCACTCTCTCTGTACCACACGTCCTGATTATCTCTCTAATTCTCCCTCGCTCTCTCTCTCATACTCTCTCGCACTCTCTCTGTTTTTATATATATATATATATATATATATATATATATATATATATATATATATATGATTATTTATTCGAAAATTATAACATAAATATGTTATAAAATCACTACAAAAATAGCCATTTTGGTTTCAACACTTCCGGTGCCTTATAAAGTGATGGAGTTATATATATATATATATATATATATATATATATATATATATATATACACACACACACACACACAGATATATATATATATATATATATATATATATATATATATATATATATATATATATATATATATTATGTTTTTTTCCTATTAGATTAAAAATAAATGAAAATAACAAGATATCGAATTTAACCTTTTCCTAAAAATAAATTGTCTTTTTTTTTACGTTAAGGTACGATAGATATTATATATGGATGTTTCGAGAATCGGCAGAGAGTGTATGTTTGTTTGACCGAAAGTCCGACATGTCCGAGCGGTTAAGCACGCCTGTTACACATAGGGGATAAAGGTACGAATCCTACTGGAGGACGCCTATTTTTCTGACTAGGTTTTTCGAATATTCAGGACGGCAGATGTTGTTGGATAAAAAATACTGTTAAATTAAAAACAGGGCTTCTACTTGAATATGAGCGTACATCAAATATAACTTTTAAACAAAATAAGCAGTCTTATACATACATACATACATATATATATATATATATATATGTACTGTCACTTCCGCTGTTGTGGTATATTGGAGTAATTTTCTTTGTCTTGTACATCGTTCCAATAACGAAACCCGGTAGGTTGGTAGGCATTTTACCTTTTTCTTAAGTACATATATCATAATTAAGCACATCACTCTTGAAGAAACCTCAACAGAATGCAGAAAGCACTGGACGGCCGTTTCGTCCTATATTTGGGACTCGTCAGCAGTGCGCATCCATTAGCGAGAAATGAAACTCGGGCAGTTACGTTATCAGGCAAACGTCATACCAGCCGCCTCGGCGACGAAGAGTTAACGAATTAGACTCGTTATAGCGCTGCTCGATCACATATTCCGTGGTGGAACTCATCCGATTTTTCCAGTCTTTTATGTGTGGTAGGGGTTTTTTTTTAATTTCCGAATACGGTTAGCACATTGTGGCTTTGTTCGTAGTTAATATTGTTAAGAGTTGTTTTTTTTTCTTTTTTATTATTAAAACAAATCATAACGCACACACTGAATTAAGCTGAAAAATGGAATCAGCCTTGATAATGGCTAAACGTATAGCCGAAAGCGCTCGGAAATATAAAATATTTGGACAGTTCTTACACACCCGTTTTCCAGATAAGAAAGCTCTTGTTCGGACACAAGAAAAATTAAATAAAAAGCTTAACCGTAGTACCCTGTCTGTCGTTTTTTAATGAAACATGCATATATATATATATATATATATATATATATATATATATATATATATATATATATATATATATATATTATATTATATTATATTTTTTATAAGAGATTATAATGAAAACATTTTGAAATCGCTACAAATTTCTCTTATGGATATCTAAACTTAAAAATTTTGAAAAACTCATAACTTTTTGCTCTTGTGTATAAATACATGTTAGAAAAATAAAATCTTCGCATTTGCTTTGACAAAGTCCCTCAGAGAACAAAAAACGTCACTTAAGATAGGTTTACTTTTGTCTCTATTTCTATTGTGCTTTTGGTTGTACTGAGATACACGGTATGTGCATCAATCTCTGAGTGACCTGAAATGAAATAGATGATATGAAATATGTAGAAAATTAAAGACGAACTGAAATGACAAAGATTCTTTCTCTATCTGTCTATCTTTCCTTCTATCTCATTTTTTATACTGGAGAAATAACAAGCTAGATATTTATGTACGGTAACTATTGAATATTTCGAAATTACAAGATTATTTTCGGTGTGAACACTTGTGCAAAACGACTGTCTGCAAACTCCCATTTGTAGCCTTTGTCGGATTTTCGACTTAAACACTAATACCAAATGTCAGAGTTCAACATACTGTAAAACACATCATATATTTTAATGGATTGAGTTGAATTGTACAGAGATTATCGACGCTTATCTACTCTTGAGATTTTGTATTTGTGCATCCATCTTTGTTTCATTAAGCGCATGCGCATACATGCAGTTGTATTCTGTTATCGTCTGCTTTATCCGTTATTATCTTTTTAATATTTATATTCATGTTTGGCAACATTTAAATTTAGGTGAGACCCAAAAAGATTTTTGCATACGAAATTTCATGTATTTGACGTACATTTTTAAATCCCTTTTTAAGGATGGAAATATTTGGCTTTTTTTAAATCGAAATAAAGTCACTTTTGCATCTGTCTAAATATTTGGTTTGCTATTTCGATATTTTCCATTTTTTTTTTTTAAATTTTTCTGCCATCGCTATATTTAAGCTTTCGGCATTTTTTTTTTTTTGTATGAAGTTGGTGTATATTTTTCTTGTTTCTCAAAAATGGCTGTGATGGTTCTTTAATTCACCTCAGCGTGTTTATTCTTACGCTATTGATGTTTTATTTTTGTGAGGACTTGTTTTGGTATATCACGTTTTCAATTTTCTTCGTTTGGACAAATCAGACTAAAAATATTTTAGAGTCCGTTAAGGTTATAGGTGAATACTCCATGATTATATTTGTGTACAAGTGAACAAAATTATTTCTTCACTAGGAACTACTTGAAGGAATTCGTGGATGCAAAATTTACGTATTTACTCACAATTTCTCTCACCAGAATCGCTCTTGAATGTTTGTAAGTCGACCGTATGTTGAATATTGTAGACACAACTAATCATATGCTACTCCAATGTATCAAGAGATTCTTGAAAAAACCCCAAAAAGAATCTATATCGTTATCTGTCTCCATCTAGCATCTCGGCTTCAGTGAATTTCCCACCGCCTTTGGTAACTACACTTTATGAATGTAAGCGTAGTACTAGATTGGCAATTAGGTCTCTTCTTTTTAGTTTCGAAATTGCAGGATATAACCGTGAGTTCTATGCTAATAGTTTCTTCTCTAGCACTTCTCACTTGTGGAATTATCAATCTGTCAATTACGATATTCAAAGAATTAAATGCAATGTCACACTTTATTTCCTGTCTTCTTCAAATCTGTTCTTTTATTGTCCTTTCTTCTCGATAACGATTTCTCAGATTCTTTCAGTCCCAGAAACCGCTTGAATCTGAGGGCTTTATCACCTTGTCTGTGGTGAAAGGAGCCAAAATTTCAAATAAACATGAAAGCAATAGTTGTTCTCGTGTATAAACTTGAGTATATATATATATATATATATATTTATAAATACCTTGCCTGTTGTTTCAATGAAATTTTCAAATTTTATGCAGACATACCTATATATATATATATATATATATATATATATATATATATGTGTGTGTGTGTGTGTGTGTGTGTGTGTGTGTGTATTTAGACAGCAATCCTACTTTCATGCACATTTCATTTGAATACGACAGACAAGGTTCT